GGTCTATCCATATAAAAACACCCCTACCACCAACAACAAAAGCCAACTCAAGCAAAAATGAAGTAGAGGTAGTAGTACTAGCATAGGAACTACTAAAGGCAAGTTCAGCTCTTGCCTTTTGCTTTGCATGAGTAACCTGAAAGCCTGAAACTTTGTTTCAGGTCCAGTCACTTGGATTGGTTCCAACTCCCCATCTATCAACCCATCACTTTCTTTATGCACACTATGACCACTGATCTGCATTTAGCACAGTCTTAACTCCTCCTAACATCAACTATCTCAGGTTAACAACAAAAAGTATTTAACATAGTACTACCATGGACATTTCGGGTGCAAAGAGCAGTGTAAGGTGATGATGATGATGATGATGATGCAGAGAACAGGCTGTGCGGTATTGCAGAATTACCAACTGACAACAGCTTTGCTTCAGCATTGCAACCAACTGAGAGCAGCATCGCAGAATTACCGGGGATCATGGCGTCTGAATGTGCGGTGCCTCGCCTGAATCATGCTGTAGAAAGAGAGCAAGAGAGAGCAGTGATGTCCTGGACCGTAGCATCATCATCATCAGTACCCATTGCCATCCCATGTCGTGTGGTTTGTTTTTCGTTTCTTTGTCGGGTGATAGTTTGTAAAGTTGCTGTCACAATGTCACTCTTCTTCAATCTTAATACAAAAGATGCACAATACTTCTGTGCATTCTCAAAAAAATCCCATGTCGTGTACTCGTGTGGTTTGGCATCGCGCTGCTTCTGAAACTGTTGCAGATGTGGATAATGGATGTGGAGCCCAATCAATTGGCAAAGAGCTGATTATGTGTTAAATGGCTTAGTAACGAATTATTATTATTATTATTATTATTATTATTATTATTATGTATAAAATATTTATATATGTGTCCTTGGCAACTTACAAATTAATACTGAAAAAACTACAGGCCTATTTAGATTGACGACGTTTTCAATCATACAATTATTTGGTAAAATTGATAATTATGTGGCTACGTTTAGTTTGTTAGGCAATGTGTATAGAATTTTGACAACATTATTAAGCCAATCCTACCAAAATTTTGACAATGCTATCAATTTATCAAAATTTTGGCATCATCAAATTTTGATAATGCTCATTTTGGTACCAATCCGAACAGATCCTACATTGAAAATAATTTAGCTTGAAAATTAATTTTTGAAATTTAAATTTTGACAGTCGTAGGACAAACAATAAGGCTACACTGGACGGGTTTCATTTCCATCTTCTCGCCCCTCGCATCGAACTGCCGTTTTCTCAATTATACGGAAGACGCGCACATGCCACCACGCATGCACAAAAGCATGTACCGCGATTTTGATGGGAGCGCTAGCCATGGATTCCAATTTCATACCCACACAAACAGTTTTTTTTTCAGCTGAGATCCAAAGAGGATAATTGTACTGTACTACTCTCTATTTGCATCCGTAGACCGTAGTAGTCTTTCAAACTCAAAAGTTCCCACATGAAAGTGGGGTTTATGATGGGAGGTGCATCAGGCAAGATGATCGGTGCATCGGGCTGGAGATTTGAAGTCCTCTTGTACTGTTTGTACTCTTGTATGCACGGATCGGTGTACACTGCTCGCGGATTCAATTCTTGCGCGGGCGGCGCGGGGGGGGGGGGGGGGGGGGGCATTTGTACAGCATTCGCCTCTCGTTCCATTGATTGCTCTTCTTCCTAGCCATTGTTGGGCTGCAGCCTTATGGGCCTGACCTGACTGATGCAACAATCTCAGTATATGGGCTGAAAGTTATACTGAAAGTTCAAGAAAGATGTTGTGACCTAATCCTCACAAAAAACAGATCCAATACTAAGGATAAATTTGTATTGTATGACTTCAGAATCATCCCTGGAATTATGTTTATTTTAAGATAAAGGGAGTATCTATCGCTTATATAGCAACTGGAATTCATCTCAAAATCAATATGAAAGGAAGAAAATAGAAAATTACTAGAAAACAGCAAGTGAAAAAAAAGGCACTTTTAGAATTCCAGCCTCTCCTCTAATTAAACACGCATCAAGCTCTAATATAGTAGTACTAGAGTTTAAAATTTTGGTTTGGCCCTTTCTATCGCGGGGTACTAATAGAACTGTAATTTTGGAATATTTTGGTCCAACATAATTTGGATTCAAACAAAATTTGGTCTAGCAATTTCAGGTCAAATAGTTTAACCACGGGAGCAGGGCGGGCTGAAATTCCATTCCGGAATTTTGAACCCTGAGTAGTACAATTGATGCTATACTGACCTTTTCAGAAAATGGAATGAGCATCCCTACTGCAACTAGTACATTCGTATAGATATATAAACTCAAATCATTCAAACGATCCATGCATTACTAGCACAGCACATTCAAACAATCATTTGCAGTAATTGAGAAGTGGATTAGGAAGCATCTTGAACAACTAAATTTGCCTCGGAATGCGCTAAAGAGAGGCTGCTCTATTTGAGGAGGCTGTTGTCTCGGATGTTAATTTACTTCTGGTTGTCCATACATCCGTGGCCAGCAAAATGGCTCTGTAATTTAGGATATTGCTTAGGCAATGGATTGCAAAATTATAATCTCCGAGTGTTGCCTGCTTTTGTCATCTCCTGCTTAGAACCTCGAGCTGCTTGTCACGGCATTTCGTGAACCGTGGGATTTGTCGTCGTTTTGACGAGCAAATCAAAAACTTGGTGCAATCTTTTGTGATTAGTTCACTGCACAGCAGCAGCAGAAGAATTCCTAGCCTATCGATTAGGCCTGTTCTGAAATTGTGATGGATGGAATTCAGAAATTCTGAACGTATTGTGAGAGAAGTACAGGGTACAAACGTTATAAAAGTCTAAAAACTGCTACGCCAAATTGACTTGTGCGAGCACACCTTTAAAATACATTTACCTTCTAATTAAAAAGGCTGTCCAGTATTGAACTGGGACGATAACTTATTCTTCTCATACCAAAACCAAAACTCCTATCAATACTGAAAATTTCTTGTGTGTTTTTTAAATTTTTGCTTTATTCTTTCTATGTCTCTGAGTTTTGACTTATTCCATAGATATCCACGAGTCTGTGTTTTTCCTCTATATGCATTTGGTGGACAGTTAGACTTTTTTTTAAAAAAAAATGACCATATTATCCCTCGCCAGTACATAAGCTCTAGCTTCTTATTAGAGATACCATTATTAAGTTTATTTAAAAACTTCAATTATAACAATTGAAGGGGGCAATTGTTTGATCCAAAAATTGAAAACTAAAATTTTAAATGAATTGCAATAAGATTTGATTAAATTTCAATGGAGGGGAAATTACACGGAGAACCAATTTCTTTTGATTTTGTCCTCTTCCTATATATACCAAAATTTGATTATTTTTTTACCTACTTTAGCCAGGTTTGATGAAATTACCCATAGAAATTTCGTCAGGTTTGGTTGAAATTCATTTCAAATTTTGATTTCCAAATTTAGAGTCAAATAATTCTCCCATTCTACCTTTTAGAACCAGATCGTATTCAACTTCAGAATTATATTTTTTTAAGCTAACACTTAATGTGCAAGCGAGGGGCAACAAAGTTAATCTATAAATATAAATATATATTTTTTTGTAGGGATATAAATATAAATATATGATGACCAATTCACTCACAACTAATAGAAAATACATAAAGAGGATAAAAAAAACTCAGGAGTATATAAAGAATAAGATAGAACTAAGGCATAGAAGGGTAGAGTTTTTTCTTCCTCAATATAGAGAAGATGACAAAGAAAGAACTCCAAAATGGACTGCAATATATTTTTTTGAACGATTATAGACTGCAAATTACGGGTCCTAATTAATCAACATCACATCACTTCACTTACCAACATACGTGGGAACTTGACCGGGACTTGTTGCCGACGGAGGCCGTAAAGCTGACCACCAACGACGACGCGAGATCGCTGGCCGTCCGATGAGCATCGGACGGCGGAGATGAAGCCCGTCGACACGGCGGAGTGAGCCTCCCGCCACACGGTCGACTTTTCCCGTCTTGCCCGTTCTCTCGCGGCGCTGCCTGCCTTCTCTTTTTTTCCACCGATGACTCAGCAGCCTATGGAGTATGGACCCGTACACTGCAAAATACCCATGGTTTGGGCATAAACACCGGTAATGCCACTGCCAATAGCACACAGAAAACTGGAGCTTTACCAATACTTGTGCCGTCTCTTTTGGAACAAATGATTTTTTTTATGGAATTTCTGAGAAATCCGATTCTACAGAAAATTTTCCTACGTGATTGTTTGAATCATAGGAATAGCTATAATAAATATCCTATAAACTTTCTTTGAATTGACTCGAAACATAGAAATTTTGGGAAAAATTCTAACATGGGCTTTAATCTCTTAGAAAAATCCTGTCTTATATATTCCTTATGATTCATGTGTTTTTCCTATGCTCTATCCAAACGATTATTCCTACCGTTTTTATGTGTTTTCTTACCGGTTACCAAGGTTCACAACTTTGGTAAGGAATTAAAAGCTGCTCACAAGCAGTATCTTCAGGTTTTTTTTTAAAAAAAACGTTGATAAATTGACAAAAACCAATGAAACCTTTATAAAGCTTGTCAAAATTTAAATCTCAGTATTTTTATAATGGTTTGTTTATATTTTCGACCCTATCTGAAAAGATCAGATTTGATGAAATCCAAACCGATTTTCAACGGGATTGTAAGTCTGCTACTACTGCAAAGCTTTCAGTTTCAGGTTTTGTGTCAAACATCGCAACTTTGGAGTAGACATACGTATTATGTGCACGATTTTTTCCAGCATGGAACCCAAAACCGACACATTTATGAGGCTCACAAGTCACAATCTAGGACGAAGAGAGCCTTCTAATAGAAGGTGTAGAAAGCCATAGAATTTTATGGCAAAGATGCAATTAACCACCAAAACCGAGGACTACTGGATGTTCAAACAGGGGTTGGTGTGGTGTGCATCTCACAGTCAGTCAGTCCCAAATTCTTGATCTATCTTAAATTAAAAACCATTTGTTGACTCTATAACCACGATCTCTCTTCTGCTTGGAATTCTCTATCCTATTTTTCATCTCATATTCTAACCATTGATTATGCCATGATTGGATCTTGGCACAGTGCTCTGCATGTGTTCTTGTGTTAATCAGCTGCCCCTAATCCCCTAGGAGACCAATCTACTGCTGCTTAGCTCCTGATACAAATTTGCACATTGCCCGGTGAAAATTCAGCAACTGAGCAAGCCAACAAGAGCCTGGGTTTCTGAACTCTGACTAGCAGTTTCATCAGGTACCAAAAAAAAAAAAACTCATCTTATTCCCTAGTTGAGATCATCAGTTTGTTTCTGAACATTTTTTTTTTTACATTTTGCGGCGTTGATCAGATTGGTTTGAGCTTGGGAGAGATCGATGGGGTGCGTGTCGTCCAAGATCCTGAGCAAATCAGGGAGCTTCCAGGAGAAGGTGGTGAGCCATGGATTCAAGGGGAGCAACCTGATCGAGGAGATCATCCTGTCCACCCCCAAGAAGAGCAACGGCGATCAGTTCTTGGCCCTCCTCCGCACGTCCACCTCGTCGGCGTCGGCGGCGGCGAGCAGGGCCAAGGACGCCGCCGATCAGAGCACCACGGCGGCGGCGGTGGCCGCCGAGGAGTTTGTCAAGATCGAGACGATCAACGTGTCCGAGCTGCTCGCCGGGCTGGAGGAGGAAGAGGAGGAAGAAGAACGCGACGACGGCGAGAGGTGTTCGGCTCAGGCGTGCGTGCTCGATGGCGCGGTGGCGACGCCGGCGAGGGCGACGAGCTTTCGCACCGTGGAGGAGTTCGACGCGCTGGTGACGCGGAGCGGCTCGTCGGAGGTGGCGGAGGCAGCCTCCTCCGCCGATCAAGACGCGACGGGCGCCAAACCGTCGGAGCAAGAGGAGGCCGCCACCGCCGCCGCCGGGAACAAGAGGCGGGCGAGGGCGAGGCAGCTCGGCGAGCTGAAGGTGCCACTGCCACCGGCGTTCGACTTCTCCAAGTCCGGCAGCCTGCGCGACTGGCTCCTCCAGGGCGGACAGATATTCTCCCCGGGCTCCTACGTCACCCCCAAGTTCGGGACGACCTCACCGGCGCCTTCGCCGCCGCCGCCGCAAGAACGTGGAGGAGTACTCCACAACGCCGGCGAGCCGCAGCCGCAGCACACCGTGTTTGATCCCGAGCTGGTCGCGCAGTTCGAGCAAGCCATGGAGCGGCTGTCCGAGGACGAGGAGCGCGTCTTGGAGAAGATCCTGGAAGCCATGGGAGCGGCGGCGGAGGAGGAGGAGGAGGAGGAAGCGACGGCGACGGCGACGGCGAGGCTGGAGATGCCAAGCCATCGGCCGGTGATGGTGGTGCAGGAGTAGGCGACGGTTTTGGTAGGTTTTTGCAGCCGCGCGTGTGTGATGTGATCTGTAATTTTAAACCCTGTGCTTGCAAAATGTAAATATGAATGTGTTCAGTGATGATTTCTGTCGTGTCTCGGCAAATTCCAATTCAGTTCAAATTCAGTCTGCCAAGAGGACGATGACGAACACATCAAATGCGAAAACGCTAATCCGCGACCAGATTTATATTAGGGAACCATCGATGCATGTAGCAGAATCTGAGGAAGATCTTGGGCCAAAGAAGCATCTGGATGCGAATGGGTTTATAGTTGAGGGACACAAAGTGCACCTCTTCCCTCTCCATTGGGTGATTTAGCTGCAGAAAGTTTACTTGAGGTCCCTCAAAAAATAGGGGTCAGAATCACTTCCCACAACCGCAAAACAGATATATAGTACCCTCAACTTCTAAAACTAGTGTAAGGCTGTGTTTCAAAGTGAGTGTTGGGAACCCATCTCCCATACACGAAAAACGGAGTGGTCCATTAGTACGTGATTAATTAAGTATTAGCTTTTTTTTCAAAAATAGATCAATATGATTTTTTAAACAACTTATATATATAAACTTTTTACAAAAAATGCACCGTTTAGTAGTTTGAAAAGCGTGCATACGGAAAAAGAGAGGGAGGTGTTGGAAACTTGCTCTTGCAAAAACACCCTAAGTTGAGTCCCTCAGTGGTTTTTGGATAGCGGTTTTGGCTGACAAGACGCTTACGTTGTGTGTTGACCTAGTCTTGTCTTATGTGATGCCAAATTGATGCTTACAATTAAAAAATTAGTGGAGCCAACGTGTCAAGGGTTGTCTTCTTCATCCACCCTCTCCCACGACTTCACCTCTCCTGGCCAATGGCATGGAGGCCGAGATCCATGGCGGCAGCATTGCCTTGTAAAGTTCCTGTGTCGTCACGTGTTGCCACAGCCTACCAAGCTCCCGCCACAACCATGTTGAGGTCTCCCGTCACCAAACCGCTCCCCCCCTCTCTCTGTCCGCTTGATCCGAAGCACCTCGTCTGGCTCCTGACGGCTCTTTCCTCTAGTCGTCTTCCTCTTTCCAAGGCCGAGCTTAGCCTCCGTGCCACCGTAGGATGTAGGTGATGCTGGCAGGAAGCGAGTGCGTGGAGAGAGAGGCAAGGAAGCCGACAGCGGTGAAGCACGAGAAGACGGATGGGTAGGAGGCTGCAACAAAGCTCCCTAGGGCCTAGGCTGTGGGGTGGGCCCTGTGCTCCGTACTTGTTAGACTGCAGTTACCCCTAAATCTCACCATCCTCCCACCTTCGGCCTCTGGACCTCACCTCATGCATCTTGGCGGCCCTCATCCTAAAGGAGGATGGTGGTTGGCGGTATTTTTGATCAAGTGATGAAACAATTATATATAAGTGACAAAACAATATCAAAATTATTTAAGAGAGAAATCAGATGTCCCATCTGTTGTTAGGGTTGAAAGTGATTCGGATAATTTTCGTCCGACCGGACATTTTTTCGGATTCGGATAGTTTCGGTCGGATATATCCAAAAATTTTCAAATTCGGATTTTTTTTTCGGATATGAAAACGACTATGATATAGGTGATATCTGTCGGAATCTGATATCCGTAGGATATTATCCGGTATTTTCCATCGGATATCCGACTCACACATAAGACTGCCATAGAGGAGGTAAATCACACAAAAGCTAGCCCAACCCAAAGAGGAGGTAAAACAGACTTCTTGACAAAAATAAATTTCGAATTGAATTTTATGATATTAAATGAACTCATATGAAAAAGTTATAAAAAACAAAGTTGTAGAACTCAATAAGATCTACCAATTTTATTTTGGTCATTTCTTCATCCGAGTTTCATTGAACTATATAAAATTTGATTTTTAAAATATAAGAAATTCAAATAATTCTTCGGGTAGTAAATGATTTCAAATGGAAAAAAACTATCAAAAACAAAGTTGTATAATTTATCAAGATCTACAACTTTTATTCTGGTCATTTTTCTATATGACTTTGTTTGAACGGTTTAAATTTGAATTTGAAAATATAACAACTTCAAACAACATTTTCAAATACTAAATGATTTGAACTAAAAAATTCATCAACAACAAAGTTGTAGAACTCATCTAGATCTATAACTTTTATTTTGGTTATTTCTTCATCCGACAAAGTGATATTAACATTGTTCATAAAATTTACATATCTCTCATTTGGTTTTATAAATTATAAAAGAGATATGTAAATTTTGTGAACATTGTTACTATCACTTTGTCGGATGAAGAAATGACCAAAATAAAATTTGTATGTCTTGATGAGTTCTACAACTTTTATGTGCATTTTTTCAACTGAAATTATTTACTGTTTCAAAATATCATTTGAAGTTTTGAAATTGAAATTTTTAATTGATAAAACAAAGTCACGAGAAAATATGGCCAAAATAATAGCAGTAAAAACACAATAACATGATAGAGCATGATTTTAGAAACATTTAAGAAAAAGAATCATCCAATTTGGAGTTCATATGAGTGAGATAAACTAGTTTCAAATTTTTAAATTTTATTTTCACATACGACTCCTTAAGACGCCCGTGTAGAAAAATTTGATTTTTCCATATAGGCTCTTAAGTGGTCCGCATGCAAAAATGAGCTCATTTTGGCATCTTAAGTAGGGGTGGGTATTCGGTCAGACCGAAAATTCGGTATTGGTCTTCGGTCTTTTTTGAAAGTTCGGTCATCTAAAGCGCAAGACCTTTTGGTCTTGAAAAATGTTGAAGACCGATCAATTCGGTCTCGGTCTCGGTTAGACTGAAATTTCAGAAATATTTAGAAGAATCGCACAAATCCTCAATGAATTTCAGATCCAAAAATATCATACACATAAAGAAAATTCATAAAAATCCCACATCGGCTTTCTTCACTGTCATATACTCATCCCAGATCAGATTTGGCGCCGCTCGTCGCCGTCGGGGTAGAGGAGGCACCATCTGATATGCCCCCGGGGTGGAGCCATAGAGGACCGCAGCTTAGGCTTGGCAGTTGGGGGCTTGAGGCCTCCTGCCTCGGGGCTCCGGCAGCATGGGCGCAAGAAGAGGAGGTCGTCCTGATGTGACTTGTGAGGAGGAGGAGGAGGCAACGTGGAGGAGAAGATGCTGGGATGGTGCAGAGGTGCCAGCGATGGAACATGATGCCGATGTGCGAGAGAAACAGAAAGGAGCGATTGGGTGAAAAAAAGAAGAAAGAAGCGCTCTCTCCTGGGTGGGTGGGGAGAGCGTGGCGGCTAGGTGGATGAGGAGAAGGCAGTAGAGAGAGCTAGGGTTTTACTTGTGTTGGGCTTGCTTTCTTGGGCTGATATTGTGCTTTCAATGAAATTCGGTCAATTCGGTTAACAGAGGGTGATGACTGAAATGACCGAATAAAATTCGGTCATCTAGCACATAAGACTGAAGTACTGACCAAATTTATCGATTTCGGTCTCGGTTATTTCGGTTCGGTCTTTTTTTGCCCACACCTAGTCTTAAGGAGTCGTATGCGAAAATGCCGACGCGGCAAGTTGTGGTCCATTTGCAAAAGTCATAGGGTCTTGTACACAAAAAACCGTTTGTGTAGTTGAGGGGTTTTTATATTCCGATTAATATTTGTCACCGTATTTGTATTGGATAATATTCGATTTCGTTTTCATATCGATTTTTGATTTCGAAAAAAAATTATGAAAATAAATATGATAGAGCTAGTTTCCGATCGTATTCGATCCATTGTCATCCCTATCTGTTGTCTCGTCCAAACAAGCATCTTACGTTTTCTGCGTGGTTTTGGCTTCTGCCCACAGTTTACCACAGCAGCAGCTATTCAGCCCGTAGAAAATTCAGATAGCCAAATTGGCCTTGTTGCTGTCTTGTGGATTGTGGCTTCTGTTGAAGTCTTACTCCATTTTTTCCATCTACTATATCCGATAAATCTCCTGCCGTTTTACCGTTTCAAAAAAAAAAAAGTCTTACTCCATTTTTTATCAGTTCGATATTTTCCTTAGATAATGGTATCAGTTGGATATACAATGGTTGGTAGAATAGCGAGGAGAAAATGACATCACAACATCTGTAGAGCTAGAAAGAAAATCCATTACAATTAGTCAAATCAGTCAAGTTGCGGACATCTGCTATTTTCTTTATCCCAAAATATTATAACTAGTTTAAACTCATATTATATGAGTGTATCAAGATAATATTAGTAAAAGATAACTTTTAAAATTAAACATCACATACTACTCATACTACACCTTAATTTTATTATAGCTCAAACTAGTTCGGACCAATAATTCACCTAGCCCAAGAAGATAGCCAACTCCTTTTATCTCTCTACTTAAGACTTGTTATATTTGACATGGGTGGAATATTATAGACTAGAACTGCTATGCTTCCCACAACCAGTCTAATTGCGAAAGTCTTCGGATTAGATCGTCTGAGGTGGATTTTTACTTTTCAAGAGCAAATAGCCTCATTTGTTGCAAATTTTAAATATATTTGACATTAAAACGGGCGTATCACCTATCACTTTATATTGGGTTTATAAAACCTGGCAGTTTTCATGAAAACCAGACTTTTTGACCGGCTCAAGAACATAGGCCGCTCAGTTTTCCAGGTCAAGTTAAAAAAAATCAAACTGCATTTAAATTGTTTGGCAAAATTTGATCGGATTAGGTTTCAAAAAAAATGATCGGATTTTGTCAAGAGTCAACGGTTTTCAAAAAGTTTTTGCAAAAACGGAGAAAACCACTAACTCATGGTTTTTGGCTCTAGAATGGTTCGGTGAACATACAAATAATCTACGATCACAGCTCACAGGATAATGTTAATTATTTAAGTTCGATCTACAAGTGAGGAACTAAAATATCCAGTTCAGCTCCAGATGTGACTGCACTTTTCGTAGTTCGGTTAATCTTCTCTCTTCTTTTTACACGTTTGGATCCAAGCTCTTCTTTCACGTACGTGCAGGTGTAGCCACAGATGACACCAGGGCCACAATCCATTTTTTCTACTTCTGTTATTACTAGATTTTTCTGTAATTATTTGCATAGTACATGTGTCATGTGTGGTGTGTCCTCCGTAGTACTTTATCGTGCTCGTTTTGTCAGTGAACAGTGATACTGTATTCTGATTGGAG